GCAACCTGCGGCGGTAGGGAAGAGAGAGACAGGGGCGGGTGAGCGCGAGTGGCCGCAGCCTGCAAAGCTCGGAGGACTCGCTGCCCGCCACGGGCTAGGGCAGCTCCTGTGCTGGGCCGGCGCCCCGCACCCCCGCACTTGCACTCCTGGGTGCGGCGGGCGCGGCTGGGCGGTGGGCCCGGAGGTCCCCGGGGTCCTTGTCATCACCTGCGAAGGCTCCCATGGTTTGGGCTGCCCCAGGAGGGCAGCCGGATTGCTCTCCGGAGCCCCAGCTGGAGGTGGCTAGCCGGGTGCTTGCTAGGGCTGGGGCTGCCGGGAGTGAGAGGTGGAGGGCGGGGAAGGAGAGGTGGATGGAGGGGATGAGCCAGTCGGCAGCTCGCCTGCAGCTGCGTAAGCCGCCCGTCTTCACTTTCCTTCTTAAAGAGATAGTTGGTCTCGCTCTGGAGCCAGGACAGTCGCACGCTGGCTTAGGGTCCTTTATTATCACAACTAGCTGTTGCGCAGAGCTAGAGGACCGGGAGGGGTACAAAGGGTTTCAATCCGCTGACTTGCGATGTGAACCTGGGAATGCCCCTTCACCTTCTGGGCCTCAGTGTTCTCACGCCAGTCTCCCTCCTTGACACACAGACATCTCACCTGAAGTAGTAATATAGTCTAGACACCTTTCAGAACATTTTGGACTCCCGTAAACCAACTTGTGAGTGCCAGAGTTATTTAATGTGAACAGTTCTTGACTTTCTAAATAAGTGGTAATAGGAATCTTAAATACCCGAAGGCACTTAAGAAACGTTATCCTTGGCAGTGTTGAAATAGTAAGCCGGAAGGATGGGAAATATAAGTAATAAGCTAAGAGATCCTTGTTGTGGGTTTCTCCCCTGCTTTCTACCAGGTATCACAGGAACCCAGGGGCTACAAAGTCTGGGAAACTGGATTTCAAGGGTCCATTTCTTGCCCACCCATTTTTGACTGTGTTAACTCGTTGGCCTGATTTCTCACCTGCCCCACTGGTGGAGTGGGAAGGGGCTCCTGTCTGATCAGCTGTGCTCCTGCTCACAGCCTGCACGGAATTTTCTCGACCACCTTGCCACCTGCTCTTACTCTACTCCCAACTCTCTGGTGTCCTCTCAAGTGTCTCTGCCCATCCCTCATTTTACTGTCGGCAAACTGTTCCTTGCTGGGCCTCCACACTCAGCCTTTATTGGCTGTTTCATGGGCTTGGAACAGCCCAGACTTCCAGTTTGCTCCTTTGCTTCCTCAAAGTCTCTGTGCAGACTGCGCTATCTCAGAGAGGCCTTGCGCCATGGTTAATCCTCACTGTCAACCTGACTGGCTTTAGAGTCACCCAGGCAGTGTGTTTGTGAGGGTGTTTCCAGAGGGACTTAAGGATGGCACCACTTTAGGTGTGGGCTGGGGTCCAGGCTGAAGGAAAAAGGGAAAAAGAAAGTTCGTTCGGTGTGAACATTCATCTCTTTGCTTCCTGACTGGGGACATCCATTTTTCTGCAGTGTCTTCTTGTCAAGATGGACTGTCCTCCCCTCAAGCCACAGCCAGAATAAACCCTCCCTTCATTAAGCTGCTTCTGCCAGCTATTTGGTCACTGTGTTGAGAAAAGTAATATACCTTCCTGGATCAACCTACAAAGCATTCTGACTTCCTCCTTCCTCCTTCACTTTTATCCTACTGTGTGTGCATGTGCAGGGTTGTGTGTGTTGTGCATGTGAGTACACAGTTGTGTGTGTGCATGCTTGTGCATGTGTGTTCACGGTTGTGTGTGTGCTTGTGCATGTGTGTGCACGGTTGTGTGTGTGCTTGTGCATGTGTTTGCACGGTTGTGTGTGTGTGTGCGTGCTTGTGCATGTGTGTGCACGGTTGTGTGTGTGCTTGTGCATGTGTTTGCACGGTTGTGTGTGTGTGTGCGTGCTTGTGCATGTGTGTGCACGGTTGTGTGTGTGCTTGTGCATGTTTGCATGGTTGTGTGTGTGCGTGCTTGTGCATGTGTGTGCACGGTTGTGTGTGTGTGTAGATCAGAGGGGTTTTTAACCACTCTCCATTTTATGGAGCCAGTCACTCAGTAAACATGCATGCAGCTCACTGACTCAGACTGGTGCTGTCATGTCTGGTTTTTCCGTGGATGCGCAGGTCCTCATGTTTGCTGGCCAGCACTTTAGTGGCTGAGCCACCTCCCCGGCATCCCCCTACCCCATGCACTTATGTCCGAGTTTCGCTGAATTTAATTATCTGTAATTGAAAAGACGGTCTATTCTCTACTTGTCTAGATTGCTGCCCCCACTAGACTGTACACACCATGGGGGAAAGACTTTTTTTTCTTGCTATAGCCCCAGTGCCCAGAACAGACTCTAACACGTGGTAGCAGGCAGTGGATACTGGCTGACAGGGAGTGCGAAGCTGAGCTTGGAGCCTTCTACTCTCTGTCCAAGCTGAGATTTCCAACAGAATTGGGAACTTCACTGATTCACATGAAGGCTCTGCAGGACTGGCCGGCTGTTCCAAAGTAGCTTTGTAAAGAGTCATAATACTTATGAAGAAATCATTATTTTAATTTCCCTATTCCTTAGAAAGTAAAATCTTTTTCTGTAGTTCATATTTACAATAAATCTACCAGGGTTTTTCTTTTTTTCTTTCTTTAGTAATAAATTCCTCTTTGGGGGCATTTGTTACATTTTCTCTCTATTAAATATCCAGTTAAAATTGAATTCTCCCATCAAATTGTCATCATTATATATTCATTTTGGAAAAACACAAAAGAGTGATTATAGAAAGAACAATACATTGAAGTTGAAAAGGTCATGGGAAACGTCTGAAAAATTCTAGTGCTGCTCTCTAGAGCTAATTGAGGACATGTTTGATCTATCTTAATGACCACCTAAATCAAACAAGTGACTTTTTCATACTTAAAGCAAAACAAAAGAACACCATGTAATCATTGCATGCTTGTGGGAAGAAGAATTCCGAGATGTCATCTATTTCCATGTCTCCTTTCCTGTTGTTACCCCCACGTTCTTACTTAGAAGACTACATTTCCCAGAAGTCTCCACTAGCAATGTCCCCAAAGCAAGAGAGCTCTTCCACCCACACTACTCCCATCTGGAATGGTGTCAGCCAGTAAAGAATTCTCCAGAGCCTCTGAAAGCAGGTAATTGAGAAGAGAATCAGTGTTTAGTTATAATGTAAATTGCAAGAAATGAGGAATAGAAACATAAATCATGATAAAATTATTCCAAAGAAATCAGTAATTCTGTTTTGTACTAATTAGGAAATATTTAAATTTCTTTCCATTTCAAAAGCAATTTTCATTCCCGTTCTGGGTGAGCATCCTGCTCCCACTGAATGCAGCAATAAAATCGGAACAAAATACGCACACATGGGAGCTATGTGAGGCTTCTTAAGGGAGTCACCAGCAGGGCTAACTGGAGAAGGCAGCCACAGGGCGGTAAGTCACTGGAGTGGCAGGAATTTAGCATTTTTGTTTCCTTGTATATCTTCCAGCCTGGTCTCTAGACAACAAACCCTGAAGCTGGGAACCAGAACAAGACAGCGGCCACTTCAGCTAGCTCTGCCTGCAGCCCCTTCAGCTGGCTCTGCCTGGAAATTCTGGGAAGGAGACATCTGATGCTCAGTATGAGTAGGGGAAGTTGTTTTCTCTTTTCAGATTTTTCTTCATTTTCTCAAAACTCAGTTCTTAGACAATCCTGCCCTTGCCTTTGGAACAGCAGGAAACTGCAGGTGGCTAAAACTCCTGGGAGGAGAAGTCACTCCAACAGAGTTAGGCTGCAGCAGGTGAGCAGCTGCTGGCTTTTGTCCCTTAGTGCTCTTCTTCCCCTTAGCTCCAGATGCAGGTGCATTTGTGGGAAGCTGGCTCCAGGGCAGAACAGAGCAAATACAGCTCTCAGCTGCAGTTTTCTGATGGATCTCTAATAATGGTCATGATATAAACAGTAACTTTCTGTTACTAATAAACCAAGCCTAGAAGATGATCTTGAAAAGGCAGAGAAAAAAGATACACTGACTTTATGGAGTTAATGTTTTGAATAATTGTGATTTCGTATCATAAACAATGGAAGGCAAAAGAAAATAAAAACTTAATGGTTAAAAGAATCGTCAACCAGATTGTAATACCTAGCTAACATATCTTTTAAGAATGAAAGTAAAACAAAGACATTCTGAGAGAAAGGGAAGTTAAGAACACCACCGGTGGCCTTGCTGTTAAGAACTGAAGACAGGAGCTAGAGAGATGGCTTAACAGCACCCAGCTTCAGTTCCTAGCAACGACATGGCAGCACAGTTCCTTCCCCTTCAGTGACTGCTCGGAGATTAAGAGTTTGTTTCTTAAAAATTAATTTTATTTGTACGAGTATTTGCCTGTGCATATGTTTATGTACTGTGTGTTTGAGGAGACTAGAAGAGGGTGTAGGATATCCCCTAGAAAAGGGTAGTTATAGATAGTTGTGAGCCTCCATGAGGGTGCTGGGAATTAAACTTGGGTCCTCTGGAAGTTCGGTCAGTGCTCTTAACCCCTGTGCACCTGATTGATGGGCTTTGATGCTCAGTGACACAGGGGATTCAAAAATGTTTTCGTCTGTGCCCACATTTGCCCCAATGATGTTTCTTATTATTGTGTAGCTTTTGATTTAGTATACTTATAAGTAAAACTATATATATATTTAATTTCATCTTAGAAATTAGATTGTATCTTTATATTTCATATAAAAATTTTGGACGTAAAAAAGGAACATAGATAAAAAATATTCAACAAAAATATTATCAAACCTACAAGTGTGGTGGCAACTCCTTTACACAGAAATTAAGAAGCAAAGGCAGGATATCTCTGTGAGTTCAAGGTCAGCCTGGTCTACAATAGAGTTTCAGATCAGCTATAGTTACATAGTGAGACCCTGTCCCCCCCCCAAAAAAAAAAACCAAAACAAATAAATTGAAGCTCTCATACTTTATTATAAATGTAAAATGGTATAACTTCTGGCAAATAATTTATTATAAATTTAAATATGCATTTACATGACTTAGAAATGCTACTCAGAGAAATAAACATTTCTAATTGTATAAAACTATATATGCTTATAGCTCTAAAATTATCAAAATTGGAAATAACTGTCTTTTAATGGGTTAGAGTATAAATGAGCTGATATATCTAGGCAACAGAATACTACTTGGCTTTTAAAAGGAACAAAATACGGATACATGAAAGCACTTGGATGAATATCAAGGGTACTACGCTGAGTGAAAGAAACCACGCTCAGAAGGTTACACGCTACATAGTTCCATTTATATAACATTTCCAAAGAGACAAAAGTGCAGTCATGGAGAATGGTGGCCAGCTATTAGAATTAGAGGGACTACCACAAGGGGATAACCTGTGAATTGAACCTGGATCCTCTGGAAGAGCAGTCAGTGTTCTTAACTGCTGAGCCATCTCTCCAGTTCCCTGAAAAGGATTTTTATAAAGGTGATCTGACTATGTCTAGACTGTGGTGATGGAGATATATAACACACACACTTACATAAATATATAAATTATAGGCCTGTACACCAAAAATCAAGCCAATTAATTTCCGCATTAATTTGAAAGTAAAAATATTTAAGACAACTCTGTTATTTGTATCTTAAATATACTCAAAGAATCTCTTTAGAATTGAACTGTTTTACAATGTAACCCAGTACCATTATTTGCAGTGCCATAGGCCACTTTTTATAGAGTATTTTGAACTTCATAGAGCATATGAAAAATTTTGAGTCAAACATCAACTAAGAAAACAAATGCTTTTGCTGTCTAAAATGCTCCATACACACGAATTAAAAGAGCATCTTTTGCAGTTGTCTTTACTAAGACTGAATGTGCAGATAAAACATTAACAAGTGTCTGCCAGTTTTTTGTTTTGTTTTTTTTAACATAAGCAGATTTGGTTTTGCTGGAACATTAATGGTGACCATAAAAGTTATTAAATATTAAATGAAAAAGTTAAATGGCCCATAACCAGATTTTAAGTAACTCAGGTAATTTAAAACAAGTTTTATAATTCTTTAACTAAGATATTAGATTAAAATCCAGGGAATTAGGTACTATCAATGATGTTACAAAGCAGATCAAATAAACTAATGTCTACAAGTAAGAAAATATTAACTATTCATTAACTCCACAAACTTTAATAATCCAATGTAAAACAGTCTTTAGAAAACAATCTTGAATGTTTCCTGGAGGTACACTATATTTTATCATGTACCATAAACACAATCTAAATGCAACACTCAGATGAGGGCAATGATAAATGCATACATTCAAATCAGTTAAGTTAAAAATGACTTAACTGTCCCCACATAGGTTTCCAATTCTGGCTGTAATTGCTCTTTCCCTAGATAGAAAATTGGAGGCCAGCTTGTCTGTGAAGTGGCCAGACACCTGCTGCTTCCAGACAGCTTCTCCAGCAAACTGAACAGTCTATGCAGCAGTGCCAGTGATGGCACTCACCTGCATGCTCTGGATCTCTCTCACATCTTATGGAACATTGGTCCCACTGTAACGATAATATCTGCATAGGGAGCACTCTGGCTCAGTTCAATAACTCGATGTTTTTTTAGGATAAGAAAGGTATAAAATTTGGCAGCTGTCTGTTTCCGGTCACAATTTCTGCATAGCTTTATCAGACTAAAAGATTGCATCCCCATCTTGTTGTATTCCTGGGAAAATAATTAGAAAAGAGAAAAGAAAAGGGAAAAATTATTAGAAGTAAAGCAGTCTGCAGATGTACAATGAATAAATACTGCAATTCTTGATAAGCTATGATATCTTTAAAAAGAGTAACAGAATGGCTCCAATAAGTGTGTAAAAACATAGATCACCGAGACCAAACCTGTTTTACTGAGAAAATGCACCAAAAACTACTAAGGTTTATTCAAATTTATGTGTTATATAAGTGTTAGTTTTTAAAAAGTGATATTAACATAAATATTTCTTATGCAAAGTGCAATTAGTTTCATCTTAAAAACAGGAAAAACCCACAGGACTTTGTGAGGTTTCATATATAATAAATAATAAGTCCATTGTGGGTCTTTGCCTTAAAGGCATTAGAGAAGCCTGTAAAATAACCTTCGCAGTACATGTGGAAGTGCACCTGTTGGTTTCAGTGGCCGGGTAATGTAGCTATGTAAACATCTCCTGGCTGGAGTTATCACACGGTGCCTGTACACCTACTAAAAATAAGTGAGATACAATATAGTATTAAATTGTGGAGGAACATAGCACTTTCAATGGATACTAGGATTTGGAATTATATTCTTATAAAAGCATAGTTTTTATTTGCCCAGAAATACTGGACCAAATACTTGCCAGTGTTTTATACCTATCTTATACGCCAGTGTCTTATACTTATCTTTGGGTGATTGTAAAGCACTTTTAGGAATGTCAGTACTAGTTTTTGACAGTCTAAAATACTTATAAATTAATGGGTAAAATACTTTATTGTACAACAAGCAACAATAAAGAGGTCTAATTAATAAATATTTTGTGTTTGAGTGTTTTGCCTGAATGTATGTTGTATAACCCATGTGCGCCTATTGAAGTCAGAAGAGGCTGTCAGATCCCCTGAAACTGGAGTTAAGATAGTTGTAAGCCACCACGTGGATAGTGGAAATCAAATCTGGGTTCTCTGCAAGAGCAAGTGCTCTTAACCACTGAGCTATCTCTGATTAAAACCACCCAATAAATCAATACAATAAACTTGAAACAAACAAACAAACAAACAACCCCTCAGAGTGCATCATTATGAAATTTCACAGCATTGAAGACAAATAAAAGTTCTAAACGTTTCCAGAGAGAAAATAAAAATCACCACAAAAGATCTTAAAATAAGATATTGCATGGTTTCAACAACAACAGAGAATCCTAGATATGTACAAACCTTTTTTTTAAAAAAAGAGATAACTAACCAAATAACACAACCATAAAGTTTACATGAAAATAACTATAATCACACTATGAAGCCTCAGTGAAAATTTATTTATATAATCTTTGAAACAGAAACTGACAGTCATCCTTATCAACTTTTCTCTTCTATATTTAACCCTAGGTATATCACTCAAAACCGTTTCACTTCAGTGGACTTTTGTTGTCAACAACAAAATATAAAAAATATCTTGTTTTCATAAATATCTGGATGCTCAAATCAATATATTATTTATTTTTTAGTATCAAAATAAAGGTCTAGGGAAATAGTTCAGTGGATAAAGTGCTTGCCCTACATTTATAAGGACCGGAGTTCACATCTGCTCAGAGGCAAAAGGGATCTCCAGGGCAAGCTCATTAGCTAGACTGGCTCGAATCAGTAAATTCTGGGGTCAGTGAGAGGCCTTGTCTCAGGAAACAAAGTGGAGAGAGACTGAGGAAGCCATTTGTGGCCCACAATATACAAGCACCAGCATATACATGCATCCCCATATAAGAACATGCATATACATGTGCACACACACTACATGTGCATAAACACACACAAAGTAAGTAAAATAAAAATACCACCTTACCCGTAATTCATTTAATGTCTGAAATAATCGTTGATTCCATTTCTCTGCCTCAGTATTTTGTTTGCTGACTGATGACTCCTGTTTGAATGATTAATAAATATTTCATTTAAGCAATTTTTATTGACTGTTTACTATTCACCAAGCACTGCATTAGCTACTACATAAACATAACTGTAACACAGTCCTGCCCAAAAAACTTCTGGTTTGATAAAGAAGAGAATGGCACAAACACGAGACAATTATTGTGCAATAGAGTCCTCAAGATTAAAACATTCCATCCTACAGGAAAGCTAAGTAACCCAGCATGTATACTCCTATAAATAACCCCAATAAAACTCATTGGCTCACCAAGCTGGACTTTGTATATGTACATTGGTCTATTGTGGGTTTCCTGTCTGGGGTGAGTAGACATGTGTAGTATGTATCCCTAGCAAAAGTTTTGTCATACAACAAAACCTGTACAGGGTTGTACCTTGCCTCCAGGCATGCCTTCTGATAAAGAGATCCAAAGCAGGAGACTGCAGTTTTAACTGGTGATGCAGCTCAGAGCTTGTGCCCTTATGTTTGAAAAGCAAAGTTAGCAAAGTCACCCGCTTTTGGTTAGGATTTTCAGTCTGGCCAATCTGAACTCCAGTGACAGGAGTACACAGAAAAATTACAGAAAATATGTTGTTGCAAGGCCTTTATATGAACTAGCTGATGACATAAACACCCTTAAAAATGGTTTAAGAGACCTTTCAGATTTTTGAGGTACTTTGTCTACATAAGGCTAACTCACTGTCTGTCATCTGATTGGTTTACTCTTTTTTTGTATTTTAAAGCTGAATCACTTCCATAGACGGTTTGATATTTAGTCGAATCTCTCACAAACAACTCATGAGCCGTGAGAATGGGGTCTCGGCTCAGGAAAGGTATTGATCTATCTGATAAAAACAACAGTAACAATAACAATAAAGAAAACAGAACAGGCTGCAAAGGACTATGGGTAAAAAGTAGCAGGTCTGACCTATTTTATCAGTTTTTCTGCACTAGTTCTGACCATAGTGTGCAACAGCAAACAAAGCACTGAGACAAACTAAGAGGCTATAGAGATCACACAGTAGTTAAAAGTGCTTACTGCCCCTGAAGAGGACCTGGATTAGGTTCCTAGCACCACATCAGGTAACTGACAAATATTATAACTCCAGTTCCCGAGGATCCAATGGCCTCTTATGGCCTCTTCAATCATCTGTTTGCACATAAATTTATGTAGGCACACATATATGCACATAAATAAAAATAATAAATCTAAAAATTTAACACCAGGACCTAATAGGTGATTTGATAGTGTTTATTGAACAACTTTTGATAAAATACCTTTAAATTAAAAAATGCCCTCAGTACTCTGGGATAAGGTTCAAAGAAGTAATTTGGGGGCCGGAGAAATGGCACTGGCTGTTCTTGCAGAAAACCTGGGTTCAGTTCCCAGTACCAACATGGTGCCTTACAACCACCTGTAACTGCAGTTTCAAGAGACCCAAGCACCTTCTTCTGGCTTCCTAGGTATAGTGTACTTTCATACAGATAAAACACTTGAACATATAAAAATTTTAAAATCATAAAAAGATTTTTATTTTATGTGTATGTATGCATGTGTATATCTTTTTTTTTTAAAAAAGGAAACTAGGCTGTGGTGGCACACACCTTTAATCCTAGTACTCGGAGGCAGATCTCTGAGTTCAAGGCCAGCCTGGTATACAGAGCTAGTTCCAGTACAGTCAGGACTACATAAAGAAACCCATCTTGAAAAATGAAAGTAAGAAAGAAAGAAACCTGGTAGTAATGCACAGGGAGCCAGTGAATAAAATTTCTGCATTTACTATCAAGATGTGGCTTTTTAAGCAGACCGTTTTCTGATTTTAAGCATTTTCATTTTCTGTTAAAACTTTCGTACAGATACAAGTTTTGCAGCAATAATACTGATGAAGAGATGCTCACACTATTTTTAAAAAATAAAACTTATGCCCTAGGTTATATCCTAATAGAATATAATTTCCAAAGATAAGAATGATTTAAAACAGTGATTCTCAGCATTTTAAAACATGCCCCTACTTTTGATAAGAATAAAAATTGTACACTTTCCTTTATTTAGACTCTCAAAATAATTTATGTATAAGAAAAAGTTCACCAAATGATTCACAAATATCTCAGCTGTTGTGTGAGTCATAGTAGCTGGGGTTATGTAGTACAAGCTTGCTTCAAACTCATGATTCTGTTGTCTGGTAAGGGCCACCAAGCCCAGCTAAATGTATTTCTTGAGATCATAAATTTAAATTATAAACTTATAAATAAACATGGAAATTCTGCAAGCCAAATAAATAAATTTTAATTAAATAAATTAAATAACATTTAGGAAGACAACTTTTAAGAATATTTCTTTCTTCTCTATTAGTCACTCCTCCTACTTCCATGACCTTTTTTTTTTTTTCATATACTGAGTATAAGTAAGGATTCCTAGAGTTAGTGGGAGATATGCTAGAATAATGGAGAGTAAATACGATTACCATGTACGTCTGTATATGTATGAAATTTCCAAAATTAAGTTAAATCTAAAAATAATTAAATATGAAGAAAATTGCCCAAAGACTATAATATATTTACCAATTCAACTGGACAATTTTCTTGGGCCAAGGAAATATTCATTGAAGATAATCTCTCAGCAGCTGGAGAAGTCATGTCAAAGATATCCTGCCAAAGAAAATTCAGAAGTTACAGGTAATTCTGCTAGTGGTTATAATATGAACAACTCTCAATTTTATTAAATGATTTATTAATATAAACAATAATTTCGCAAACTAATTTAACCTATTGTCTTAGTTAGGGTTTCTATTGCTGTGAAGAGACACCATGACCACAGCAACCTTTATAAATAGGAAAACATTTAATTGGGGCTGGCTTACAGTCTATTACCATGATGACAGGAAGCATGGTAGCATGCAGGCAGACATGGTGCTGGAGAAGCAGCTAAGAGTTCTACAACTTGATCTATAGGCAGCAGGAACAGAGTGTGACACACTTCCTCCAAGAAGGCCTCATAATAGTCCCACTCCCTATGGACCTATGGGGGTCATTTTTATTCAAACCACCACATTCCACTCCCCAGTCCTTATAGGCTTGTAGCCGTAATATAATGCAAAATGCATTTAGTCCAATTTCAATGTCCCCATAGTCTATAACAGTCTCAAACTTGTTTAAAAGTCTAAAATTCAAAGTTTCTTCTGAGACCCATGCGATCTCTTAACAGTAAGTCCATGCAAAATCAAAATGAAAAAGCATAGCATGTATTTTCAACATATAATGGCACAGGATGTACCTGACAATTCCAAAGGGGAGCACAGTGAGGAAAGACTAAAACAAGACTAAAAAACAGCTGGGAAAACTCCAAACTCTGCATCTCCATGTCTGATATCAAAACACTTTTCAGATCTCCAACTCTTTCAGCTTTGTTGACTGCAACACACTTCTTCCTTTTGGGTTGGTTCCGCTCCCTGTTAGCAGCTTTTCTTGGCAGGTATCCTACAGCTCTGGCATCTCCAACATTTTGGGATCTCCAAGGTAATGCAAGCTTCAACTTCACAGCTTCACACAATGGCTTCTCTAGGCCCCATTGCCTGGACACTTCTGACATATGCTTGGTACTTTCTCTGTAGACCAGGCTGGCCTCAAATTCAGAGAATTGCCTGCATTTGCTTCTCGAGTGCTAGAATTAAAGGTGGGCACCACTCTGCCTGGCCACGTGCTTTTCTTTAGTTCCTTTTCACAAATTAGAAGCTTAGCTGGGTGGGGCCTTGCTCTGAGGTCACCACTCCTTTTATTCCACTTAGTATCAGGCCTTTCTTTAATCTGTGTACACTTCCTGGTACCCCTTTTCTCCTTAAATGGTACATAATTATATTTTTCCTTGATCACCTTTCTCTTTTTTATTATATATCTGCGTAAGAGTGAACACTAACAGAATCCATACTAGGTTGTTTTGAGATTTCCTCTGCGAATGCAATTAATCCAAAACATTCTAGGAAATGTCCAAGCCCCCAAAAGATAGCTAGCATGGTAACTCACAGTGTCAGTGTGCAGTATAGTATCAAGCATTTAGTCAAACGTGCTCTGTTTTAATGTATTCTGAAATAGTCTTTCCTCCCAGTTAATACAGTTCTGATGTGGATTAAGTGAATTTTCTGAATGGTTTTCAAAATACAATGAGGACGGCATCTGCTTCCCAAGCTCCCCCTTCCCTGCTTTACAAAGAATCTTTCTCACTGTGCTTCTTATGTGTTTCCTCACTCCTAAGAAAAACCTTTCTTCATCAGAAAAAATTAACAATGATGATGGAACATACCTGAGAAACATTGTTTTTATTTTTATCAATAAGACCCTAATATTTAAGTAACAAATGAGAAGGTATTTTATATATTATTTTTTCAAAATAGGGTTTCTCTGCCCTAGCTGTCCTGAAACTCTGTAGACTAGGTTAGCCTCAAAGTCAAACATCTATCTGCCTCTGCCTCCTGAGTGCTAGGATTAAAGGTGAGCACCTCCATGCCCAAATATTATAAATTTTCCTATGTTTTCAAACAAAACTGTCTTCAAAGAAAATTTTTGTTTTCCTGTTCCTTCAGAATGACAAAAGTATTTTGTTTTGGTCATATACTTTTAGAAATTCTTTCAAGATTAAGGTAAAGATAGTTGAGAAGTTTAAAATGTTGTTCTTAGAAGAAAAGTATGGGTGAATTTATGATGAGAAACAATACACAAATGTCCGGTTAGAGTTGTAGGAGGTCCCATAACTCATGCAATATATACAATATACAACCAGATTCAAGCACAATCACTCATTTGCTATGTCATATAAAATACTGATTCAGCATGAAACTACCTTATCTTGTGATTCACATCCTAAACTTCAGAGGAATATTGTCTTGCAGATTAAAATTATGTTTTATCTTATAGTAAAGACACTTGGAGAAACTGCTGAACAACATGAGATGAAATATGAACTGCATCTGTAAGAATATGTATTAGCCTCTTAATATTACTTCACTAGAGTTGCATAAAATATTTCAGTGATTATCTCTGGTTAACTTACCTCAGAGTTAATATTCATAGCGATATCCTGCTGAAAGCTACCCGTAGATCCATCAGTCACATCATTCCAAACCTGGAGTTGATCTAACTCCCCGTGGGAACTTGGCTCTTCTATCACTGAGGACTCTTAAGTAAAGAGAATGTTATCAAAGTGCATTTCAAACCTGAATTGGCACATGACTATTCAAAAAGAAAACTTTTGGCCAGTAACTTGGAATCTACCAATTTAACTGAGGAGTGTCCAACTTTCCCAACTCTACCGAGTCTCACATAATTTATATCTTCCCTTTCCCCTCCTCTGCTTCTTTATCATTTCCACTCCCATCATCCTCCGTTCATTCTCACTCACAGGACAACAGGAATAGTTTAAGTTCACTGTGGTGTACTATTTTGTAAATTTTAATGACTTCAGAAATGGTCACTGGGAAAGGAAGTTTATTCCTCACATAATGTAAAGTAATGGTTACACTACTTTATAACTTTCACAGCAATAATTAGCTATTATTAACATTCTGTCAACTTCATTCTAGGCTGAGGGTGATATTGGCCTTAGGACAGTTGTAATATTTAAGTACATTCTTATCACTATCTGAGTTTTAGGTTGTTTTAAAATGAAACATTATTCTGCTAGACACAGATTTTTCTAAGAGTTGGTGAATACTGCCTTCAGGTTGGAGGAGGTTAGAGAAAAAGAATATATAAATATACACACACATAAATAACATCTTTTGTATGTGTGTAGAGAGGATACTGGGTATTAAACCTAGGGCCTCACACATTCTAGGCAAGTAGTCTCCCACTGAACTACATCACCTGGTCCTTTTAGTGTGTTTTAGCTTGAGACAGCATCTAACTAACTTAACCTAGCTGGCTCTGAACTTGCTCTGTAACCCAGGCAGGCCTTGAACTTGCAATCCTGCCTGAGTGGGTGGTTATTACAGGCCTGTGACACAAGGACTGGCCTATATTTTATCTTTTCAGTGACATCTTGGAACAGATATTAATGTGAAAAGCAGAAAAATGCTATACTAAGGTAATATTTTAAGTTTAAAATACTATTCTATAGATAGTGGTTATATTTGACAATACAGATTTGAGCCTAGTTTTCATTCTGAGACATAGAGTTCAATTTTTGTTTACACAACATTTTCCTTGACATTAACAGAATTAGGAAATCTTACCTAAAATGTTTTTGGTTCCCACTTCTTTCCTTACTGACTCCTTCTGCATAAGTTTTAAGTCAGAGGACAGGAAGCATCTTGCAAACAACTGTAAAAACACATTTATAGTCTTGATTTTATATTAATAAAGCAATTCAATAAAGCACAAGCACATATGCTAAAAAGTAAAAGCCATTCATACACAATTTTCCAAGCTGGGCAGAGTGGTGCACACCTTGGAGAAAAAGGCAGGTGTATCTCTGTAAATTCAAGGCCAGGCTGATCTATGTAGTGAGTTACATAGCGAGATCCTGTCTTGGGAGGGAAAGCCATTTATACACAATTATTAAACAAATTAAGTCTTAAAATAATGGTTTCTTTTCCCCACATGTCCAATTACATTGTAAATATAAACATATTTATTTAGAAACAAACATCATATCCATGCAAAAGGATGAAAACAATTACCTTTTTCAGTTCATCATGAATCAGATCCTGGGTAGCAGTTGATAGAAGTGTATCCACTCCTCCCCTCTTCTTCCACATCATCAATCTTTGTGTGGGGGGTGCAAGGTCCAGAACCATGAGGGTGTCAACAAAGGAAGTAAGCTGCTTATGCATAGTCTTGCTACTTATCTCCTTGACTGGATCTATGAGCAACCTCCTCTTTTTGTTTTTCCTTTTCTCAGCAATGTCTAGAGGGAAACAGGCATAAATGGACTTAGAAAGTTTTGTAAAATGATATTCTAGGCTACTATATATCTAAGGAAAGGATATCACAAATAATCTGCAGAGTTGCACTGGGAAGAAAATCCTTCTGTTCTTTGAAAAAAAGCTTTGTAAAGTTTTTGCAAAGTTAGAGTATCTGAGCAGTCAAAAGCTGATACATTTTTCAAAGTATTGTTTGAAGGTGCTTAAGAGGGACCCTGTTCACTTGTTAAATGGGCAAGCGCAGAAAAATGGCAAACAGGGAGTGGGCAGTTAAAGAATCTGGAGCTTTTCTTTTCTTTTTAAAATGTGGAACACGATAATATTTCAAAACATTAATGTGTATCTCTCCAGCGTATTTCACCTCCTGCACTGAAATTCATATATGAATTCTAAGTAGGCAACTAATTCCACACCATGCAGAAGGCAGATGTCAAGCTTGTCTTTAGTAAAGCTGAAAATGTTTTGAATTGAAATCGGTTTTTAAATTTCCAGTTTTCCAAACTGAACATATGATTTGAACAGGACTAGACGTGTTGAAAGAATCACCTCTTTTCCTATTTAATGCCCAGTGCTGTTACCATGCTGGCAGTCTCCTGTAACAGTCTATGAACTGTTTGCATATCTCAAAGCAATTAAGATACCAGGGTACCAAAGATAAAAATAAAAACATGAGACCTCTTACTAAACCATCAATTGGGTCAAGAGTAAGCCCTTCTTCTTCATTTGATGATGTTGTTTCATCTACTTTTTCATCTTCAGGTAGGCACTGGTCATCTGAATTACCTGGTTCTACTAATAAAAGCAAAAACAGAAGCATATGACTATGCTACACATTAGAAGACAATATGAGAAATAAAGTAGAAAAATAATTGTGGAAATACTGCTAGCTGGGATGCTACATTAATTCTTAGAATAATGAACTGTAACAGAGGCAAAGAAGTATAGGAATAAATGGTCTGGGACCCTCAACTTTTGAGTGAGTCAAACAGCATCACCCTCATTTACATATGAAATAGCTCAGGCTGGGCTACTGTCACATAGAAGTGAAAACAAAACAAAAAAGTGACTGATAAAAATTTGCTATGACAACTAAAGTATCTATGTTCTGTTGAACCGCCAATTGACCCATAAAGAACCATAGCTAAGTTTTGAACGCCCAAGACTTTTTGTTTTTAATTTTGATTATTGTGTCACAAAACAAATGCAACATCAAACATTGTGAAAACAATGTTTTTATATTTTGTTTTTAATATTTAAGGAAAAGTATCTTCAAGGCATCAACTCATCTGAGGAATTTTGGTAAGAATTTCAATTAAAGAAAAATAAGCTCAGTTGATAATTTATAACTTCTCTCAAGCTGTACACCAATGGTCAAGTCATACAGTGTGATAATTTTTCTTCCCATATAACGTATTATTTTTTAGAATTTGGAAGTATACTGCTTGAGAAGAATAAATATGTTCTACTAAAGCCAATCCTGGTTAATTATGTTTTCAGACTCTAACTTCCTGTTCTACATTATCTAGGGTTGGATTAAGAGAATCTGAAGGATATTCTTCATTACAATGCCGCTGAAACTTAGAAGTTCCAAACGTCGAAATCTATACATTTTCTATGCAAAAGACTTCAACATACCTATTATACTACTGGGAAGCTCAGGAGGCTGAGAGGTTTCCTTGTTTGAATTTATGTCTTCTAAAAGGGTATTCTCATCTTGCAACAGATTGTCTTTAAAAACATAAATACTTCTTATTAGCTAAACATTTTCTAGCATTAGTTTATATAAGACATTATATTGTTTTTACTCCATATGGGGTCACATAACTCAATTAGAAGGGGTTGGGTATTATGAAAATTTTGGCAAGAAGGAAAACCAATTAAAAATCAAAATTATTTCTGGCAGTGCTCACCCATGCTTCACTCTGCCACTTCACTGTAGCCTTGGTTCTAAATAAACAACGTGGACTTTGCATTATGTATGCTATCGTGTGCCATACAATGCCAAACACATGGTCTTAAAATGCCCTGGCACAGATGAAAGATTACTGTATGTTATGAATTGCATTGTTTTTACTATATGTACAACATTTCCTATTCTAAAAGAAACATGACTTAATTATAGCAAAAAAGACATTTAATATTGTATAACTATTTAAATCAGTGTTTTCATCAATACAAATTCTAAAATTGAAATATTGATCAACTCTGAAAAACATTGAAAATGTTCTACACCCTGGAGTATCAAAACCTTAGCAAAGATTTAGTTTTTTTAATATTTTAATATTTATTTATTATGTTACAATATTCTGTCTGTGTGTATGCCTGAAGGCCAGAGAGGGCACCAGACCCCATTACAGATGGTTGTGAGCCACCATGTGGTTGCTGGGAATTGAACTCAGAACCTTTGGAAGAGCAGGCATTGCTCTTAACCTCTGAGCCATCTCTCCATCCCCAAGATTTAGTATTTTAATGTAAAAGTAAGCATATTATCTCATTTCATGAGTATTTATCTTAATAAATGATAAAGTTATATAATATACCAAATAATTATGTTAGAATAAATTTATTTCATTCATTATTAGTAAACACTTGGTTTGTATATACATTTTATTTTTTAATTTTTAAAATATATTTTTAAATTTTATGTGTACTGGGTGTTTGCTTGTATGTATATCTGTGTGCAACATGCGTGCAGTACCCACAGAAGACAGACAAGGGTCTTGGATTCCTTGGGTCTGGAGTTACAGATGGTTGTGAGCCTTAATGTGGGTACTGGATCCAAACCCAGTCTGTCTGGAAGAGCGATCAGTGCTCTTAACTGCTGAGCTATCTCTCCAACCCCTTGTATGCACATTTTACATATCTGTATACCAAGGACCACATAAAAATTTCTTGGGCAAAAGTGGGTTGTGGATAGAAAAAGTTTAAGAAGCCCTGGTTTATACAAGGGATAAACCACACTTCTTTTTTGCCTCATCTCTCTTTTCTCCTCTCCCTACTCCCTTTCTCTTTTGGGATAGGGGTTCATTAGGTAGTGAAGTGGCCTAGAACTCCTTATATAGTCCAGGCTGGCCTTAAACTCATGATTCTTCTACCTCAGCTTCCCCAGTTCTAAGATTACAGATATGGGCTGTCATGCCTGGCTGATAACTAGACTTTTAATGAAAACTGAAAAAAAACCTGTAAATGTATTTCATATAACTAATAATCTTTAAAATACATACTTTTGTTTTCCCAGTGTCACTCCAAAATGTCTATTTTATACTAATATTGTAATTTAAATATAAAATGCTATACTGACCTTGAAGAATATTTTACAATTTGTATTAAAGAAGACAATATTACCAGCATATAAATCTAGTACATTTTTGAAGAGTATACTAACCTCACTTCTTTCCAAAGTTTAAGGACACAAATAAAAACAGATAGGTGTTAATGGCTTCTATAGAAATGTGTTTAAACAGATACCTATTAACTAGGCCTAGATTAAAATATTATAGACTTTGAAAACATATGTGAAAAATAATCTGACCTATAAATACAGATATATATCTGAAAATTCAATTTCAATATTTGATATTTTATGACCAGAAAGCATACCAATCATTTCTCCTGCAGCTCCTTCATCTCCAAATCCATCTCCATTGTCAAAGAACAAAGATTTTTCCTCAATGAGGCTTCCAGAACTATGTTCAACTACAAGACCACTGGAGTTCATTAATACGCTGACATCAAATAAGCTCTGTCTTCTGAGGATTTCAGGTTCATTTCCTATATAAATGTATATCGTCAGTGGCAAGCTAATCATAGAAACATAAACTTTTAGAGTTGGAGGAAACTTACATCATCTAGTATAATTCATCCTCATTCTATGTGGAAAATAAAAGTTTTAAAATTATTGAATTATCCAATTGAAGACACCAGTTAATCAACATAGACTAGATTCCAAGTTTAATACTCTCCCAATACAACAGGAAAAAATGCCAGAGCACTCAGTAGAGCTTGTAGTTATAATTTAGTCATGTCCTGGAAGGTCAAAACGCTGTGGGAGTAGACTGATTCCCTATACATTATGTAGATCACATTCCATTTGACCAAGTATTATTTCATATCATTTTATATAGAATAGTTTATGCCTAAGAAGAATTTGGAAAATCTGCCTAGAGCTACATAAAGAAACCCTGCCTCTGAAACAGTAACAACAAAAACGACTGGTGGTGGTGGCACAGACCTTTAACCCTAGCACTCAGGAGGCAGAAACAGGCAGATCTTTGGGAGTTCGAAGCCAGCCTGGTCTACAGAGCAGGTTGTAGGAAAGCCAGAGCAACAGAGAGAACCCCCCAATAAGGTATGTTAAAATAGTAAAGAATGGGCTTATAATAATCATTCAGTAAATAGTTATAGAATATACCAAGAGTTGGAGATAGCACACTAAAAAAAGCACAGCCAGCTAACATTAACTGAACACTTAGTCATTAGGTTATGCTGACAGTTACAGAAGATCCAAAGTCAGCTCTGGCACGTTCTGTCCAGCTTTGGATTTTAAAGTCATTATGTTCAGGATTCTGAACCCTGAAGATAAGAGTTTGGTCTTCTCTCCCAATGACCCATGTCAATTATTATACAGTAAAGAAGTCATGAAGTTATCACCCATATCGTACATTTGTCTATAGACCTACATCACGATGGATTAAAAATTTGCTAAATGGTCTTAATGACTTTTTGAGAAACAACTAAGAACATGTTTAATATCATTCAGGGTATTTTTTTCCAAAAAGAAAAAGCAGCCTTGCTCAATCAGAGAATAACACTCTAGAACAGACACTACATTCTAAGTGTTGGACATTTCAAAAGTCTGAGAATAAATTGGTTATTGTTCTGCACACTTATAATTCCAGCACTCAGTAGGCTACAACAAGTCAATCTGAGTTTCACACAAGACTGGTTTAAGTAGTGAGGCTGTCATTTGTCTGTATGTCTGTCTGTCTGCCTATCTATCTATCTATCTATCTATCTATCTATCTATCTATCTATCTATCTATCTATCCTGAGATTTCAGAGTGAAATAATCATGACCTTAAAATTTATACTGTAATCAAGAATAGGATGGATTAATATAAACATTTCTTAAAGTTTGAGGGAGAAAATCATGTATTGGTGGAGAGGATAAAAGGCAAGAATAAAGAAAATAACCTTTGATGTTGCTAGTAGGATCTCTACTTTACAGACTCAGTTAAGTCATTTGTTGAGTATACATAGCAAATATACAGAAAAAAAGTCCAGATTCAAACCTAGAACTACAGACTGACCTGATTCCCCACTTTTCTGAATTATGCAAGATACAGAACTGTGAACAACTAAGTTGAACTGATTAGATGGTAAGGCATACACTTTAGTAGGGGAAAATTCCTATAGTGAGGCTGATAAACTGATAAAAATGATGAGTTGGTAGAAGGCACTGAGGAGAGGAATATCAGGGGTTTGATACAGTCACAGGAACGCGAGGTGTTTAGGTAGAGGAATGATAGGTGGAAAAAATGTACTTAAAGACAATTACTCTTTCAGAAATGTGTAAAATATGGGAAGAAAATTGAGGAAGATTTTCAGGAAGGTAGTATAATACTGTAACTAATAAAGCAGACAGAAGATATGGGAGACAATTCAGATGTCTTTAAAAAAATCAATCAGTAGCTGGGTGTGGCGGCGCACGCCTTTAATCCCAGTAAGGGAGGCAGAGGGAGGCGGATCTCTCTGAGTTTGTGGCCAGCCTGGTCTACAAGGCGAGTTCTAGGACAGCCATGGTTACACAAAGAACCCTGTCTTGAAAAACAAACAAACAAACAAACAAACAAAAAAACCCCAAATGCCTTTTCCAAACATATTTTAACATCTCAAAAATCACTGTATGTTTCATAATCAAGCTGTACACTGTAACTGATAATCATACACTGGACAAAATGTATTTGAAAGAATTTTATACAGTAAAATATAACCCCTCAATATATATAAACTATACCAGAGGTTAATCTGGATATCTCTGCTTTGAGGGCAGAAACTACTTTCCTTTTGGGGGGCAGGGGAGAAAGAAAGGGAGACAGGGTCTTACTATAAAGCCCTAGCTAGGATTACAGGCATGTGTCACCATATCAGCCCCAGAACCTACATCTTTAAATTTTAGTACTGTTCTATTCTTTTTATTTTTTTTATTGATTTTATTAAGCTAGACATTTTTTCTCTGCTCCTCTCCCTTCATCTCCCCTCCCCTTCAACCCTCTCCCATGGTCCCCATGCTCCCAATTAGTACTCTTCTATTCTATGAGAGCACCTGATATAGAAATTCAAAATATGCTTGGATTTAAAAAATTATAAAGAAATATGCCATAATAGAGGGTATTAGCATCTAGACCAGAAAAAATTGGAGACTATATTATACATAAAAACATCCATTCTACAGATATCTCTATTGTGACTATTTTCATACAAATTGCAAATATAATTGATGTTGTCTTATAATTTTGATTTCTCAAATATTCTCACCAAAACTCTCAGCTTGGAAAAGCAGATCATTGCTATATTCTTCTCTAAGTGTGATTTCCTCTGGTTTGCTTTGGTTCTGAGCAAGGGGCTCTGAAACATCAATATCACTATAGAGAAACATGAGTAGAACACTATGGTTGTACAAAATATTGGGAAAAAATCTAAATCAGCTTATCATACAAGGATTTTTACTTTATCAATAGTATGTTTATGCACATGAAATTCTAGACACATGTTTACACAAATAATTTTCAGGTTATTCAATCCAGTGGTGGTTTTTAGTTGCTAATTTACTTGAGCATTTGAACAGATGATCATTCTTGCTATGGCTTGAATGCTTGTGTTCCTTCCAAGTCTAAATACTGAAATCTACTTCCCAGTTTGATGCTATTAGGAGATGAGGCCTTTAGGAAGTAACCAGGTCATAAGGGTTCTGTTTTTACGAGCAGAGCTTGTGTGGCCCCAAACTACCATCTTGATCCTTATACCACATGAGGGTGTAGGAAGACCAGGAAGCAAAGCCTCTGAATTACTGTATCTTGACTTTGGTCTTCCTTTGTCAATTCTGACAAGAACTGGGTAGTTTTTAAACAGATATTCATTAAACACCGTTCTAGAGTTTAGGAAGCCAAGATCAAGGAACCATGGATTTAGTGTCTAATACGGGCCTATTCTTCACCTCTGTATCCTCAGATGCTAGAAGTACAAGAAAGCTTCCTTGGGCTCTTTTATAATGTCACAGACCTCATTAAGGAGGGCTCTCCGCTTTCAAAACCTCATCACATTTAAAGGCTCCCACCTTTTATACAATCAATACAATCACCATGAGGATTAAGTTTCTATATGTGTACTTAGAGAAATACACACATGAATTCAGACCCAAACTATATGCTGTCCAAAACCTAACTTACTTCTTTTTTTCTCTTTCTTCAACCTATCATCCTTTAGTTATCCTGATTTCAGTAAGTGGTAGCTCCGTTTTATGCCCTGTGGTGGCTTAAATAAAAATGTCCCCTATAGGCCCACAGGGAATGCACTATTAGGAGTTGTGGCCTTGTTGGAGCAGGTGTGGCCTTGTTGAAGAAGTGTGCCACTGGGGACGGGATCTGATGTCTCAGATGCTCAAGCTTCCCGCCATGGCCATAATGGACTAAACCTTTGAAACTGTAAGCCAGCCCCAATTAAATACTTTCCTTTGTAAGTTGTCATGGTCATGGTGTCTCTTCACAGTAATAGAAATCCTAAAATATGCCCCAAATCAAACAGTCATTCTTTACTTCTTTAGGGCCATATCCAATTCATGAATATATCATGTTTACCCTGCCTTTCATAGATACCCATTGATTTGATTGCTACCATCTTAATAAAGTGCAGTGTGAGAATTGATTCCATACTACTTCATATGGACTTACTACAATAATCTCTCAGGTTTTCTTTTCCTTCTTTCCCCGTAATTGTGAAGTAGCCAGAGGGGGCATGCTGAGACCAAGTTAGATCTGGTCACTCCTCTACTTTTTGTTCAAAACTTGACTGTGTTTTTTCTCCCATCAATATAAAATCTCTACTGTAGCCTACAAATCCTGTCACCTGCATCTTCTGCTCCTTCTCTGACCTCATTTCTTTACTACCCAGTCCTTTCATCTTACTTCATCTCGCTTGCTTTCTTGCTGTTCCTGAACATATCCACTGTCGTACAGCCTTTCCACTTGTATTTTATCTGCCTTATTTTGCCATTTCCACAGAGATTTTTTTTTTTACTTCTCTGGGTATTTCCGCTGGAACATTCTTATATGTTACTGTAGGTTTGTCTCCTTAGCTCCTTTAGGTTTGTGTTCTTATTTGATCAGAAAATCGTTTCCTGATAATCCTATTGCTTGTTTTAATATTTATTTATCTTCACATTGCATTTTTATTTATCATCAATCTATACTAACTAAAATATAAGATCCATTAGGCTAGAAACTGTTTTATTCATTGCTATCTCTTCAATGCCTAGAACCATGTCTGGCATAGGTAAGACATTTATTTAATACATATTTATTAGATGAATATACTGTCAATACTAACATTCAATAAATATTAGACATTTTTGTTTTGTATTTTCAAATTTTACACAGTTTAAGCTTTTGTCAACTGTACTTGTTCAACTATTATCTAGTTGAAGTTGGCGCCATTAGATCTGAATGTGAAAACAAGAAAACAAAATGATTTACTTTATATTATAGATGTCAAAATCATGAAATTCTTCTGGTAATGTGATAGTGTTGTAAGCTGCTTCAAAATTCTCTTTTGGGAGGTCAACCAGTCCTAAAAATAATGAAAAGGAGACACAATAAGCAGTGATCCTTTATGAAACATTAAACTTTCAATTAAATCTTTATCATCTCTCATGGGCTTCTCTATAGCCCCTCAGCAGTACATTTTTTATGAAGCAGACAGAATAACAGCTTCCAGAAGCAATCAAATCAGATAGTTCTCATGCTTAGAGACCTAAGCATGAATAAAGCAACTTCCTTACTACAATAAAATTCAAATTTCTGACTGGAGCTTCCATAGCCCTACACTCTTATCATACATCATCTATAGAATTCTCATCCACCACTATACTCCACAGATATACTAGTCTTTTTGTTCCCTGAAAAAGGCAAGCATTTTTTTTTTCACCTCAAGACATTATACTTGTAGTTCCATTTGCCTGTACAACCATTCCTTCGGTCACTACTTATGTACCGAGTATGTCTCAATTTTCAAGTGTGAGTTTAACTTCTATCCCCTCACAAAGGTTTTCCCTAATTAACCTATAAAATGAACTTCTCTGTTATTTTCTGTTGTAGATCTTAGTTTAGTTTCCTTTGTAACATGACCACTAAGAGGTGCAGTAACACATGTCTTTAATCCGAGCATGACCACAATCTGTAATTATTATATTGTTTTTAAAACATTTTCATTATCTGAGTTCCTCATCAGACTGAAAAGGAACTATTTATCTTGCTTGTCCTTGTGTTTTCTAAAGCTTAACATCATGTTAATCACAAAGCATGAATCAATAAATATTTGCAGGATACATAAATAATAAATGAGCAAGTAAAACAAAGTCGATATGCATATCAATCTATTCAAAGACTCTAAAACTATTTTAAATGAGAAAGATTAAAAAAAGAGCTTTCAGTCAGAATCCACAAATGTTGATGGAGGGATGGCATAAGAAAGGCACTAATGTTGATACTTTAAAAGTTAGGAAAATGTACATAATAAAGATAGTTTCTTTGGAGGTGGGTGGTGATGGCACACGCCTTTAATGCCAGCACTCAGGAGGCAGAGGCAGGCGGATCTCTGTGAGTTCAAGACCAGCCTGGTCTACAGAGTGAGTTCTAGGACAGGCTCCAAGGCTACACAGAGAAGCCGTGTTGTTTTGAAAAAACAAAAACAAAAACAAAAGGGGGAAAACAGAAAAGAAAATGATGTATATCTTAAAAGCAGAACAGATTTTATGTAAATTAAAAAATGTTAGGAATTATACTTATAACATATATAAATATAGTATTGCAGAATGTCTAGGAATTTTGATAATACTTCGTAACTGCCAATAATTTAGGAGTTTCAAGAATTCTAAAAACAATTATAATTATCAGTATTTATATTTTGTCAATATATAATTTTACTCTCATAAAGGCAAAAACAGGTATGGAAAATTAAATGACCCAGTAAAAAATAAGTGTATTGATTTCTTACACAATCATGATGATTTTAAGTGTATTTCTTATATTAATACATAAAACATAACAAGTTTTGGAAAATTAGCTTTATGGAAACTTAAGATTCAGTCAAAATGAAGTTTATGTTCATGTATACAGCATACTGCTAATAAAAAGAGACTACCCAACACAAAAATGCCAAGAGAAGTCAACAGTGACACAAATTAACATTGTATGTGTACCTGGGCGAAATGTCATCTTCATCTTAAGAAATGCTTCACTGCAGTCTGCCAAAAGATATTTTGCCTTCCTATTATAGATTCGAACAACTCCCAAAAGAAGGTGCCCTGAAGTTCGGAGTGCAATTTTCACCTTTGAATAATTTTTTAAAAATGTTAGAATAATAAATATTAGGTTTGTAAATGTTGTTGTTTGAAAGTTAATGAAATCATAACTTCTCTTTGAAAAGCAAATGTTATATTCTTACTGAAGTAAACCACCTTTTAACCTCACCATATAGAATGACTGACTTTAATTTTTGCTTACTCAGCAAAGCCATGCTTCACTTAAATGCTGTATTAGAGTGCCTTTGTGCAGACAATAATCTGGGGGAGAATTACAAGAGATAATCTGAAAAGCAAAACTGTCTCATTAAGTATTTTAATTCTTCTACAGAAGCCATGGCTAATACGAATGTTAATCAGTTACATACCTTGGGGGAGAGAATTTTTTGAATGGTTATCTCCAGATTACACTCAAACACGTGCGCCTTTGTGAGCTTCTTCTCCCAGTGAGCTGCAAGCCATATTTTGGCCAATGGCCCTCGTTTACTCATAAGCACATGAGTGTAGAACATGTTGCCTATATTCCTTAATTATATTCGACAAACTAGAGAGAACAAAAACAAATGTCTTAAATTTGTTGAGAAAGCTTTTTTTGGTATTCTTTTTTTTTTTTTTAAAAAAATTTATTTATTATGTATACAATATTCTGTCTGTGTGTATGTCTGCAGGCCAGAAGAGGGCACCAGACCTCATTACAGATGGTTGTGAGCCACCATGTGGTTGCTGGGAATTGAACTCAGAACCTTTGGAAGAGCAGGTAATGCCCTTAAATTGAGCCATCTCTCCAGCACCTTGGTATTCTTTTACTGTGAGCAAAAACTTATTATTAATTCTACAAAACAATACTCAAATTATCTCCTAATCCAATGTTCTTAATTTTCCTATTAGAGAGATGGAGAGATGGTTAAAAGCACTGGCTGTTCCTGCAGAGGATCTAGGTTCAA